CCGCCGCCGCTCACATGACGCGGGGGAGGCGGCTCCGGCCCCGCCCGCAGGCAGCCCTGTGCCCCGGCCCCGGGGGGGGCAGGCGTGGGGGCCTCTCTGAGCTTGCAGAAGCCCCCGGAGGCTCCAGCCCCAAAGGAAGGGGCAGGCCCCTCCTGGGGGCTGCAGAGGAGCAGGGGGCGGCTGCCCAGAGCGGAGAGGGTGGTCGGATGGGACGAGCCTGCCTCAGGCAGGGGTTGGACTAGATGGGCGCTGCGACCGGCCGCTGAGCGAGGGGATAGGAAAGGGTGCCGACAAAGGTGAAAAATGGATTTTCCTGCCAAGGAGAAAACCGTGGCTTTTCCCTTGCAGGCCAGGGGGGCCCACACCCCCACCCCCTGCCCCGCGCGCTGGGTCGGGACTGGCCATCGACGTTTACAAATGGGTCCTGGTGCAGAAAAGCTGGAGAGGCGCTGGGCGAGAGGACCTCTGCAAGTCCTTTCCAGCCGTCAGCTCCCTGCAGGGCGGGCGCAGCCCATCAGCCAGGCTTCCCCTGGGCCAGGACTTAGCCCACGTGGATGATACTAGTAGTGGGGCTGGCTGAGCACAGGACCCCCAAGGGCTGGTGCCTGGTGCCTGGGTAAGGGGCATGGATGAGACGCGGGGCTCAGTGACATGGGACGGGGCACGGCGCGCTTCTCCAGGCACCAGCCGTAGCATTCAGGGCTCGGTAGGGGAGGCATCAGCTAATACCAGTAGCCCACTTTTTGTGGAAACCCTTGCCATCAAGGGAGGCCTTTCCACCCCATCTGACTGGGACTCTTCATGCGTGTCCCAGGGCCGGGCTTGCCAGAGAAGTTCGTTCCTCTGGCTTTTGCCCCAAGCAGGCTTTAAACCGGCAGAACAAGGGGGTGAGGCTTGGAGAGTTGGCTGGAGACCTCAAAGGCTCAACTCACAGTTCCTGGAGGCTGGTTGTGACTCGGGTCGCTGGGTGAGGCACCCACGCGCATTTTGCACTAGGCTTTCCGGTCCTTCATCTGCCTTGGTGCTCATGAGATATTTTGCTGCACGGGAGAGCTGGGCTTAGTGTTTCGGCACCTGCGGTCAACTCCCAGCCTGTGGCAGCCTGTGCATACATAGAGCATGGCTGTCAGTTAACCACACACATGCAGTGCTGGGAAGCTTATTCACAGGTGTTATTACCAACCAACAAAGGCCATCGGTTAGCGAGCGGTGCTGGTACAGTTCATACAGGTGCAGTCTCACCAGCCACGGGGAGGTCTGCTATTGCAACGCCAGCAGGCAGCACACGCAGGCGAGACAGCGCATGACAGCAGATGCTGTAGTGACAGAGGAGACTTTTCAAGTTCATTTGGATATTGCCTGATTCATCGCTCCCTGTCCTAAACTGCTGTGCAGGAATCACATAATGTTGAATAGCAGTCGCACTAGAATAGCGAGCAGAAGGAGCCGTCTGTATCAGGACAGCCTCTAAAACGCTGCAGGAGCCTTAGGATGAAAGATGCTCTAGAAATATATGAGAGATGAATAGTATTTTGCACTTCTATGGAAGATCTCCAAAGATCTCCCAGCACTCGATACATATACCCTAAGGAAGACAGAGGCCCGCTTTCTGTTAATTAATGAACGTCCAAATTCCCTGGACAACTCTGAAAACCCCACCTACAATTAGTAAAGTAGAGAAGGGTCCTAATTAAAACTAGATGTGAATGCACTCAGGTTAGGGGAGAATTCAGATCTGGCTCCCGACTTCGCAGTGCGAGCTCATCTCTAAAATATGTATAATTAAATCTGTGTACGTGTACACGTATGTGTATGTGTACACTAAGCCTTTCACATGAGGGTCTCAGTGGACACTTACAATATTGCCTATTCACAAGAGGAGGCTTTATTATCCCATTTTTATAAATGGGGGAATTAAGGCACAGGGCAATGAAGTGACTTGTTAATCATCCTGCAGGTCAGTGGCAGAAGTGGGGGCAGAGCCGGGGAGCCCTGATTCCAACTCCCCTTCACTTACAACGGAGGACAGAGCCGGTAGCTTGTTTCAAAAAGGGTACCGGTATCCTCTGGTCCTTTCCACGGGCATCTTTCCCTGTCACTTGTTTTCATCCAGCTGAAGAGACTAATTTCTTTTTCTGAGAGAGAATTATGCAACGTGGGATTTTTTTTTCAAAGGCTGCCTGGGATCGAACGGTTCTGAAATCCCCTGCAAATGCCCATCCAAATACAAAAGCGTTGGCCACGTCCCATGCCTGCGATGATGTCTCAATGGACTCCAGAGCAGCCTTGGGCTGGTGTTTTCCATTCTGCCCATAAGCTCCAGGAGACGCAAGTTGCTTAACCCACCTTCACGAAACCACCACCCACTCTTCCCCCCACGACATGACTGGGCACGACAAAGGTTCTGCTTTTCTCTGGGAAGCTGATGATCCTGCGTCGACTTGTCTCCTTTATCAGATCGCCTGGCTTAGTCCGGAGGAAACCTCTGCTTTCGCTGCTCCTCTGTGGTTTGCCACAGCTCTTGGGAGCTTCCCCCACATCTCTGAAGCTCAAGCTCATGTTCCAGCAGGCAGGAACGCAACGGGCTGCTGCTGACTTGGGGCTGAAGGAGTCTTGTTTCCTGTTTTGCAGGACAGCACCTGGCCAGAGACAGGCTGCGGGTCTGTCAGAAGAAGCACGAGCCGCTCAAGACCATGCTTGGGGTTTGAGGCGCTGTATCCGTGTGTCGTTGGGACCCGTTCCTGGCCCGGGGATGACTTGCTGCAGACCACAGAGCCCTCCCTTCCCTCCTCCGAGGCTCGGCCTAGACTCTGGCTCTACTCCTGGCAATGGAGAAGGACGTGTCTCTAGCTCAGTCTCTCTTTGGTCCCACTGATCCTACTGCTCCTCCTCCTCTCCTGGGTTTGGCCTGCCTCCCCTCATGCCTCCCCCTTTCCACCTAGTAAGTGATGCTGCACTTAGAGCACAGGTTGGAGAGCCTGCTTGCATGCTAGTCCCTGCCAGGATCTGCAGCAGTCTAGTGGCTCGCCTTAGACTGGGGCTTCCCAACAGCCTGGAGATCGACAGACACGGGGTTGAAATAACGCTGTGCACATCTCCCAGTTGCTTGCTCCCTGGCTCAGGTATGAGGGCTGTTGAGCAACAGTGTATGAGGAGATGGTGCTTTTGCTGGGATTCCCTCTCTCAACCTCTAGCACTTGGCTTTGGCCTGAATCATTGTAACTATCTGCTGAAAAAAAATGTACTCTAGACTTTACTCTTATCTGGATGATAGAGGGTCAAATTAGAATTGCATTGGGTTAGATTAGGGTTTCCAAAGGAGATTAGATAGGCAGGTGCCCAATTTCCATGGAAATGACTTAAAATCCCAGCCATAGCGGCTTCTTTACGGCATGGAGACCACAGAGCTATTTCTTGTAATGGATAACGGTGGTGTGAGGCAGATATTGTAATTAGATTTTTATTGAGGAAACCATAGAATACTATAGGCTCCTGTTGTCCCTGCTACCAGATGTCTTTGCCACTGGGTTATGGCTGTCTCTGCTTTTGCATTTTTGGGGCAGGACTCTTAGCCAAACCTATTCCTAGGAAATGGTCAAAGTAGACAGTTAAGTGGAATCATTTTAGGAGTGTACATTTCATTGCTATGTTGTAGCAATTGTGTTAATGTGCTGTTTGGGCTACAGCATCCTCCTAATTGAGGTTTGGGGTCTTTTCCTTTAGGTCGTCTATTGCTTTCAGGGTGCCGGGGGGAGGGTTGATTGTTTTCACAAACTGACTTGCTCATGAGTCACTTCCACGGACTGGATTCTCATGACAGGTGCGCGGAGTGCACTGCTAGCATTCATGGTCCTGGATTGCTTGCCTTTGTTGTTTTCTATTGGTTTTAAATGATGCCTGGCTTTGCTACCAGCTGCATGCATGTATGATGCATGTATGTATTCTTGCATGCACGATGCCTGTGCTGATTCTTACTACGAGTGCTCTGTTCTTCTCTGGAAGAGAGATGCATGTGTGTGACGGCCTTCCTCTGTGCCAGGAGAGGGCACTGTAAGATTTCATCACTGAAATCACTAGATTGCTACATCCCTAAATCAGTTGCATATGAGCTGAACCCAGGGCTGCTCTTATGCGTCAAGGACTAAAAAGATGAGATCACGGGGAGAAAAAGCTCCCATACTCACAGCTGCTTGCTTTGAGCACAGATTAGTCTCACTGGATGGAGGGATCAGGGTCTGTCTCCTGGCTCTGTGTTAGTACAGTGACTAGCAAAGCAGGTCCTAGCCCATCATTGCAGTTCTTTGTCACTATAGGAAAAAACCCAAGAAATACAGTAACAACTACTACTGGTTCTGTGCCTGAGCACCAAATCACTGAGTGTATCTAATCCCCAGAGACAGATGAGATACTGGTTTCTGCCCCTTCAGGGATGACAGTGCATTATGCCAAAACAGATTAGTTATAATCTATAGACCAGGGTTCTGTATTTAGAAGGTGCATTAAATCCTGAGAGATTCGATATAATCTGTGGAGGTGCAGGGCTACAACAAGAGGGCTTTGTACCTTGACTAGATTAGCTGGGGAAGGATGTTACTTCGCAGATTGAAAGGAACCTATTTAGAGGCCTTGGCATCTCGTATACATCCTCCAGTATCTAAAGACTGGAACGAGATTGGGCAGCCTTGTACAAAGACAGGCTTGCAAGGCCAGATTCCACATTTTCGTTGCTGTAAACAGGAAAGCACTGACTCACATGTTTGACCACAGCCACACAAAGAAATAAATGAAACCCGTTCCCAATAAGGAATAGCACCCAGTGTCAAGAGTCAAAACCTAAGTGGTGTAACATCCAAAAGGCCATCCTAGTTAAAGAGTCATTAAGTGTTTATCACAAATTCTTCACTGAGCGGGGGAAGAGGTCTTCATGATCAACCCCTCCTATTAAAATATGGCCAATCAGATTGTAGGTAGATGCATGTCATTAATGAGTGCATATCTATGATTGCAAGCCTGGGGAAGAGGGGAATAATGGACCAGAGTTCTTGGGGGAACAGAACAGCTAACAAGAGCTCCGAGTTCCTGGGGTCTGACTGACCTACACCCAGCCTCCCAAATGTGAGTGTTTTTGCATTTCCATTGCCCAATCCAAATGCTAGTTAAACTCACGTTTAGCTTTCCAATAAAGTGATTCCATTGAGAAGAGACAGACGTGCGCTCTCTCTATCCCAGGCACTGTCCAACAAACACGGCTCCCTTTGTCCCAGTTTGGGAATAAAGGGCCTCCCTTCACAGGTACTAGAGGATGTGTTACACTTCCACACATCAGATCCAGAACCCCCTTCCTTTCCACTTTACTGCTGGGTGGCTAGCAGCAGTCTGTGTGGGGCTTATGCCCTGCCTTTCTCACACACCCTCATTGCAAATCACCCTGTTCTGTTTACATTTGCAGATTTTGTATCTGAAATGCTTTTAACCAGTGCTTTCAACTGTTTTGGGAACCATTGGGTCTCTGCCATTTGTCTCTTCCATCAGACTTTTTCAACTGCAAAAGCAGGTGCCTGGCGGGAGCTGCAGATCACTTCCCATGACTGTGTGGACCCCCACCCCACCTGAAAACCACTGCTTCAGACAAACAGGGCTGCTCTGCCCCTCCTGATAAGGGTCTGGTTCATGCCCTGGCCTTTGCTGCACCACTGGGGTTGCTTACAGAGGTTAACCTGGCCCTCCCCTCCCTAAACAGCACATTGGCAGCTGGCCCTTATCACGTCTGGGCAGCATGATGGCACCCAGAACCAGGAACAAGCTATGCAAAAGCGCCAGGCTGCACAGGGGTCTCTGTTCGCTGCGCAGAGGATGAAAGAGAGACGACATAACAGGTCCTGGCCAGTGGGTGACATCTGCCTTAGATCCAGACTCCCCAGGACCAGGGGGCTGTACCCCACGGCTCATGGGATTCCCTGCCGGTACTGATGTCTGCCTAGACAGGAGTCTGCATGGGAGCAGAGATTCCCTGTCGCCTTCTCAGGGCACAAGCCACATTTTGCAGCAGGTTGTGCTCTCTGGGCTCGTCCTCAGGCCTGAGATCCAGCTTTATGCAGAGATGCAGGAACCCAGGTTTGTGGGCAGGAGGGATGCTGACAGCAGGGCTCCCGGCGCCATCTGCCGGTGCAACGGTGCAACGTGAACTGGGGGGGGAGCGAGCAAGCCCTCCGCATCACCTTGCCCTGCTACCTCAAGGAGCACTAGGGCCAGAGGTGGGAAGGGAGGGCAGAAAAGCCTGCAGGTTTGCATAGTAAGAGGGCAGGGCCAGGCCCATTCCCACCACCGCACTGGCTCCTAAGCACATAGGCCTCCCGGAGCCCCAGTAGGCAGAAATCTGCCAGAAAGTGGGCAGTGATGCTGGCATTGGGCAATGACAATCACTTCTCCAGGAGAAACAGGGGACAGGAGGCAGCTGGCCAGTGTGAGTGACACCAGCCTCTCTGACCTCTCCCAAATGTGGTGCAGTTGTTCCTGCCCCTGTGCAAGCAGCAGCTGCCATCCCGCTCACTCCCAAGGGCTCTGAGCAACCCAGGCGGTGTTGCTGGTTTGGCTCGCGCGCACATCCTGCTCCCTGATCCTGCTGGCAACCAATGCTCAGCTCTCACCAAGGTCCCCTTCTAGTGAATCCGCCCTTTGCAACACTTTCGTGGGACGGATGGATAGTCTTCCCTGCTCCTGCTCAGGGCACAGGAAGAGAGAGCGAGTGGGAAAGCCTGGTCATCATTTAGAGGGTCTCGTGCAGCGTTAGGGTTCTCCATCACTTCCAGTACAACCGGGCAGAGGTGAATGGCGTGGGGATGCTAGTCTCCAGTTTCTGCAAACTCCAGAGACTCCCAGTGGGTCGTGGAGGAAATGTGGTGACCCACTGCTTACCCCAAACATCGCAATTAATGGAGTGACACATGCTCTTGATCAAAAGCTTTTTATTTTCCCTCTTAATAAAATTTATAATATGCCTCCCTGCACGCGATACAAAATATTTACTCTGCTAAATAAATACGACACGAACGTATTGCAGACAGCATATCGCCCTGAAGGAAAAACAGAACAGGACATCCTTCCCCAAATCCAGAGATTCACACAACAGGAGCTGGGAAGGACAGACGCTCCCCATCCCTTCCCACTGGGTCCAAGAGCATTCCCTTTAAACCCCCCAGCTGGGGGGCTGAGAAGGGAGAGGGAGGCCACAGTATCCACTAGGCAGTGTCCAGAAATGGACCTGTCACCTGAGAACACAGGAGGTTGCACGAACACCTACCCCTTTCCTTGAAGGAGGTTGCTCCAGTGAACGTAGGTCATACAGCAGAATCCATGTCCTCCAGCACTGCTTACACGTACGTGCAAGTTAGAAGAGCAACAAGACGTGCCAGAGGCTGCACTTGTGCTTTCTAGGACACACTGAGGTCCCTCGCTCACCTGTGTGGTGTCCCAACCATAGGCAGCTGTTCTGTACCGAGCCACACTGGCTTTTCCCAGGGCATTTTGGGGTGCCCGAAGCATGCACCTGATTGACCACAAGACGGCTGTGAGCAAAAAAGGGCCTTTGCTAATTATGGACCACAAGGCACTGCATTACGGGATAGAGTTAGGAAAAGGCACAGTCTAGACGGCTCTGATCAGGGTCTCCCTGGCTGAACCGGAGAGCCAGGGAGATGGGGCTGGGCCCAGAGCAGGCTGGAGGGGACATAGCACTAGCCCTGGGTGAAACACGTTCGCCCAGGAGCTCGGGGCTCAGCTCTCCTTTCAGAAGTAAACACGGCCACTCCCCTGACATCACGTCTTGGCTACGAGGGAACTGGCAATGTCCATTCTGCAAACAGGACCTGCCCCGTCCTGGGACTGGCCTGATCTGGCCATGCTACTGCAGACAAAAGCTGGACTTAGCTGGAGCCGGGCCTCCGACACCTTTGGAAAATGCCTGTCTATGCTACACTGGGGGAGAGAAGATAGTGGATTCACAGATTTCAGACGTTTAGGGCTGGAAGGGACCTCATGAGCTCATCCGGTCCAGCCCCCATGCTCTGGGCAGGGAAGACTGCCAGGGTCAAATAACGCAGGCGCTCCAGATTGTCCTACACAGGGCCAGGACCTAGGCACACTGGAAACAGGGCTTCATCTCTCCTCCACCTCATTCCACGTCTCTCAGACAGTCGGATGAGCCAGAGCGCTCGGGGACCATCAACCTTACGTGAAACACATGCTCGGGCATTTAAATAAACCCACCCATGACAGCTGCCACCATCTCCGAAAGGGGCTCAGCGCTTCTGGAAAACAAGCAAGCAAACAGCCACTTCCCTACCTGCACCCAAGCACAGACTCAGCTTCTCGCTCAATGCTCGTTACACGTCAGTGCGTTCATCTGGGCGCCGTGAACTCTGAGCTGAGGCAAAAAACTCCTTTTTGTCCCCTTACGATTTCTCCTGTGGCTCTACGCAGATGGATCCTCCTGTACTTCCCGCCTTCATTTGTTCTGTGAGCGAGCAAGCAAGCAAGCAAGCAAGCAACTCCCCTGTTTCCCCCCCAGAGACAGCTGCATTGCAGTGTGTTAACCTGGCCGTGGTGAAGTGTCGCTGGGATTATCATCTGGAAAGTTTTTTAAGCTCCTTCATGCTCAAAGCAAATTAAAAAAAAAAAAGAGAGAGAGAGAGAGACAGAGAAAGAGCAGCTCGTTTGGGCAGCGTCTGAGGGCAGCAGGGGAGCTGGCTTCAGCCCTGGTGCCGAAAGCACCGTGTGACACAGCCGTGCCAAAACAGGAACACCTTGTCCTTCAGCAGAGCCTTCCACCCCAGGGCTCTGCCGTTCCCACGCCTCCGTCACACTGAAGGCACTTTGTCTCGTCCGGCCTGGGCAAGGCCTTGTCTTTTTTCGCGGGTTGCTTTTGCTGGCTCGCAGCTCAGGCAATGAGGCACTGGGTTGCTCAGCCTGACCTTGGTTTCTGCCCACGCTGCAGGCACAGCTCAGGTTGCTGGGAGGGCCAGGGCTGCGGGCCACGCTCTTCACTCCCGCAGAGGCTCCTGTCCGTGCTGCAGCCACACAGACGGCCCGTTGCGCTGCTGAGAGCTCCCCTATTGCATGCAAATCCTCAACCGGGGCAGAGATGCGATAGCCAACATTACCTGTGCTCTGATCCCCCCGCAGACAAGCAGCGCACAGTACTGCACCCTTTCTTCTGACACTGGAGACCACTCTGGCCTGCAAGCTCCTGCTCTAAGCTACCCAGGCATCGTGATCCCCAGCACTGCAGGTGGATTGGAGTCTGCCAGCTCAGTTGATGCTCTGTGCTCTTCAGTCTGTGGGGGGAAAAACTGCTGCAAACAGCAGAAGTGTCCAGGGGTGAACCCGGCTCTGAGGCAGGACGCACTGGAACAGAAAGCCACATTTAAGGACCAAAGCCTTAAAAAGAGAGAGAGAGAGTGGAAAGGGGGAGCCAGACAACCCGAGGTGCAAAACTGTGGGCACAAAAGGGCACTGAGAGCCTCTTCCCTGCTTCTTGTGACTGAGGTAGCTCATGCACTGACCTTTGAAGTCCTATGGGTCATCCCAGCCCAGATGCACAAGTCTAATCAGGTTGCCCAGCACTGGGAGCAATGGGCCGTCCTGTTTCACAGTGGCACCGAGAGCCAGGGAAATTCAGGGGGGACAGACTGGGTTTTAAAATGAAGACAGAGGGGGAAAGTTCA